CATGAGTGCAGCAACTATAACCATGGGGAAAATCTATGTCAGTTTGATTGGAGGGCATTTAGAAACTATATACTTCGGGAGGTATGGTCTGAAGCAAATGACTTCTCTGAGGGTAAAAGGATCCAAACAAGGTCAATCCAGAAAAATAACCCCAAAATTCATTGTACATGCTATCTTCTTACTCTGGAATGTTGTTTTTCCTCCTTTGTCTTCTTGAAGAAGTCCTATTCCTTCTCCAAGCTCCCACTCAAACTTCACCTTCTTTATGAAGACTTTTGATTTCCTTCTCTCTAAAATTGGGTCCCTATTTTGAGTTCCTTGTATGTACATGTTTTAGCAGTTAATCCTAACTATTATAAAATTGAATTACAGTGTGGCACACTGCTTATATTATGGGCCTTATATTACAGGGCCTTTGTTTCCCTGTACTGAGCACAGTTTCTTGGTTTATTGAATGGATAAGTAGCTGCAGCAATTTGAGGCAGAGTGAGAAAAATGCTGCTGCCGCCTGAAAAGACCTAGATGCAGGAATTCCTAGGCCTCCCTTGTCTTGCGTCTGAGCATTGGATCGTCTGCTTCCAAGTGGTGGAGCTGGAGAAATCGGCAGACACACCCATGTGTGTGAGGCAGCTGGACGAAATGATGCGAGGAGGTCTCACCGTGCTTTAGTTTTAGCAGTGACCTTGAGCTTTCGTTTGCAGATGGAAGTTTCTGAGTTTTATAGGATGTGTATCGACTAAGGAAAAGTGCCTGTGCCACTGATTCTTGTTTTATTTAGGCCACAGGCATCCCAAAAAAGTTTAGAACGTCTTTCTGTCTGGGAAAATTGCTTGTGTTTTATTTTGAAATTATAAATCTTAAAAAAAATTGTTTAAAAATATCTTCTCTAGATTTTACTCATATGAAAGCGAAAAGATTATTGCAATTTTATAAGTATGAGGGTCATGCATTCCATATTTTCTAGGACAGGGTTAATTTTAGATCTTATATCCTGTTTTTAGAGTAAGTATCCTGATTTTTTATATGAAAAGTGTGGTTGCTGTTCTTATCATTGGCTGTTATTTGGGCAGCATGCTTTAAAATCTTTTAGTAATCAGACTGTTCAATTATCTTAAACTTCTCTTTGAGAACTTAACCAGTGCTGCCTCATAGACTAAGAAAAGCCTGATGATATTACAGAACTGGCATTCAGTACATTGCCCTGTCTGAGTGCCAAACTTCTGCTAAAAGATGGTTTCTTTTCTTTTTTTTTTTTATTATATCATAGCTGTGTACATTAATGCAATTATGGGGTACAATGTGCTGGTTTTATATACATTTAAAATACGTTCATTAAACTGGTTAACATAGCCTTCACCTCATTTTCTTAGTTATTGTGTTAAGACATTTATATTCTACACATAGTAGGTTTAACTTGTACCTTTGTAAGATGCACTGTAGGTGTGGTCCCACCAATTACTCTCCTTCCACCCATTCTCCCCCTTCTCCTCCCCTCCATCTCCTCTTTCCCATTCTTCTTGGGCTATAGTTTGGTTATAGCTTTCATATGAAAGTGTGGGTCCTTATAAATTGGTTTCATAGTAGGACTGAGTACATTGGATACTTTTTCTTCCATTCTTGAGATACTTTGCTAAGAAGAATATGCTCCAGCTCCATCCATGTAAATATGAAAGAGGTAAAGTCTCCATCTTTTTTTAAGACTGCATAATATTCCATGGTGTACATATACCACAATTTATTAATCTAGTCATGGGTCAATGGGCACTTGGGCTTCTTCTATGACTTAGCAGTTATGAATTGGGCTGCAGTAAACATTCTGGTGCAAATATCTTTGTGAAAGATGGTTTCTTGATAAAGACAATATATAGTAACACTCTTATTCCTACCACAAATTTGTGCAAAAATCCTTTAAGGAAAAAATGGGTCATTAAGAACTATTCCTTCATTAAGAACTATTCTTTATGCCAGGCACGGTGACTCATACCTGTAATCCTAGCACTCTGTGATGCTAAGGCAGGTAGATTACCTAAGCTCAGGAGTTTGAGACCAGCCTGAGCAAGAATAAGACCCCTGTCTCTACTAAAAGTTGAAAAAACTAGCGGGGTGTTATGGTGGGCACCTGTAGTCCTAGCTACTAGGGAGGCTGAGGCAAAAGGATCACTTGAGCCCAAGAGTTTGAGGTTGCTATGAGCAATGATGCAATGGGACACTATCCAGGGTAGAGTGTTCTTTACACCCAGGCATAGCGACTCACACCTGTAATCATAACACTCTGAGGAGGGAGGCAGGAGGATCACTTGGGGCCTGGTGTTCAAGATAAGCCTGAGCAACATAGTGAGACTATCTCTAAAAAAATAGAAAAATTAGTCTGGTTTGGTGGCCTGTGGTCCCAGCTACTCAGGCAGGAGAATTATTTGAGCCCAGGAGTTTGAGATTGCAGTGACCTATGATGATGCCATTACACTCTTGCCCAGATGACAGAGTGAAACCTTGGTTCAAAACAAGCTGTGCTTTAATACTGCCTTTCATTACAGAAATGTTTCTTTGTGAGGTGTAGTCACAGGATCCACCAAGAGGGAAACTTGTCCTTCTTGGAGCCTGTTGCTATAGCAACATCCCCTTGTGCCACAGGCCAGATGGGACCTCAGCAATATAGTGGAGGCTGTAACCCCACAGGGGCTTTTTACTTTTAGAGGGCAAAATTTTGAAAATATTCATGTTTATCCGTATCCCTTACCTTAATAACCATGATTGATATGGTTATTTTGTATTCAATTGCTGTGATTTTTCTTTCTGTTCAATAAATTTTGTTCATTAAATTTTTATAATATAACTGTGACCAAGATCACCTCAAATTTAATCTAAAGACCTATAATTGTCTTTTTACCTATTAAAAAGTTTAACTTTTTTCTCATTGAATAATATGTACCAAATAAAATGTAAACTTTATAATATCTTTTTATATCTAAGGATTATAAGTTTTCAAAAAGTTGCTTAGTAATGATACAAGTTACATTTTGTTGGGATTTTTTTTGTTTGTTTGGTGGTTTGTTTTGAGATAGTCTCACTTTGTCACCCTTGGTAGAGTACTGTGGTGTCACAGCTCACAGCAGCCTTAGACTCGAGCCTGGTTGGTTGTTTTTTTGTTTGTTTGAGACAGAGTGTGACTTGGTTGCCTAAGGCTAGAGTGCCATGGCATCATAGCTCACAAAAATCTCAAACTCTTGGGTTCAAGCGATCCTTTTGCCTTAGCTTCCAGAGTAGCTGGGACTCCAGGTGCCCATAGCCGTGCCTGGCTTTTTTGTATTTTTAGTAGAGATGAGGTTTTGCTCTTGCTCAGGCTGGTCTCTAATTCCTGAGCTCAAGCAATCCACCTGCCTTGGCCTCCTAGGGTGCTAGGGTTACGTGAGCCACAGTGCACAGCCCATTTTGTTGGTTTTAATCATCTGACTGCCATAAGATCCCTAGTAACCTAGTTACATTCCTTAGAGGACATCTTGTTTGTTCTTCAGTCAGTGTTATTTTTATGGAAGCATAACAACAGAATACCATCAAAATAAATGTCATTGTTAGGTGGCAAGCTATTAGTACATGAACTGCATCATTTTTTGGAAAAAAGCTACTTTCAGATGTCATTAAATTAGGAACTACTTCTGGCTCATGTAGCAGTGTTGACTGTTCCATGTGTTACCATAATGCATCTGTAATGGAAAATCTGCAGTAAGTCAGGACCCGGTCCTTCCCAGTAGTCAGCCAGGCTGTATTCACAGACTTCTGTTAGGTATCTTTATAGCCAACATCTGTGTTTCCATCTGCCCAAGTTTTCCTCTTTTGCAGCCTCATTACTTTGGTGTTATGACATTTAGGAACTTCTCACATAGTTGCCCAGAATTCCCAACAGCTCTTCAGTAGGTGGTAACACCCTCACCATGAGCCAGATTTGAGCTCCCTAATCCTCTGTGATCCTCACCAGGTAAAGAGAACAAGGCTGTGTGTAGGAGTGGAGCTCGGTATGAGTTCTGCCACATTGACTAAGGGTCCAGAGAGGGTGAAACCAGAGCGAGTCTGAGCTGGGATGAGCTGAGACAGCTCCTTGTCATGGAAAAGAAATGGGGCCTGGACTTTTTCTGGACAGTAGTTCTGTTTTCTTGATGATGCATAAGTCCTACTCATTGCCAGATGACAACCAGTTTAAGTGTCAAGTAAGATTGTTAGCCTTAGGAATCAATATATATGACACCATTTTAACAGGAGGCCTCATTCTTCTTTTCCCATCCAGAACTAAGAGGAAAAAAATGAATATGGTTTTTGCTCACAGAATGGATAACAGCAAGCCGCCTTTGGTTATTCCTACACTTCTGGTGCCCCTTCAAAACCACAGCTGCTCTGGAACAGCCACACCTCAGCCAAGCCATGACCTGACGGAATTCTCTGAGGAGCACAGCTGGATGAGCAACAGAACAGAACTTCAGTATGGACTGAAACCCGGGGAGGTGGCCACAGCCAGCATTTTCTTTGGGACTTTGTGGTTGTTTTCTATTTTGGGCAACTCTCTGGTTTGTTTGGTCATCCACAGGAGTAGAAGGACTCAGTCCACCACCAACTACTTTGTGGTCTCCATGGCATGTGCTGATCTTCTCATCACCATTGCCAGCACACCCTTCGTCCTGCTCCAGTTCACCACTGGAAGGTGGACACTGGGCAGTGTGATGTGCAAGGTCGTGCGATATTTTCA